TTGTTTTGCACCTTCCACCCATTTCATCACACGATGATTTCCCCGGTCAGACACGTAGACTGAATGATCTCGATCGACGAATACGTATCGTGGGAAAGAGAGTTGATCGAGACGATTTCCACGTCCATTGCCACCTGCAACCACTGTTCCTTGAGGTTCTCCTCTTCGATATCGTCTCACTTCATGTTTTCCACTGTCAACGACATAGAGAGATCCATTCTCGTCTATTGTCAAACCCCAACAAGAGATGTTGGAGATGATTGTTTCTCCACTTGTCCCATTTCGACGAGGCCATCGAACCACTCTTCTATTCAAAGTATCGGAGATGATTAGACAATCACTCTCTTTGTCGACAATCACATCTCGAGGTTCATTCAATTGATGAGCCCCACTTCCTTGTCCATTTCCACTGGCAACCACTTGGCCACTCGTCGCACCCGATTTCCATTCCACAATACGGTGATTCAATTGATCAGCGACATATATTGTTTGATCTTCATCAACATACAAACCCCATGGGTTTGAGAGTTGATTGATTTCATTTCCTTGTCCATTTCCTCCAGCAACAGTGATACCATTCTGTTGCCATCGAGCATTTGGATGAATGTCAGCCGATAGTGATGACACTGAAACAAAAGCTAACTTCAAAATGTGAATGAACATTGGGTATACGTGTGGATGCATTGGATACCGCTCATTTCGATGCATGAAACGTCTGTCTCTTCTATGTGTCTTTTACAATTCGTTCCAATAACACCTCATTCCATTTGCATTCGGTTCTATTTCAATTCATCTCGGTAAATTTCGTTCGAACTACAATTAGTTCGTTTACGTCTCATCGAGAAATATGACTATTTATTTTCATTCGAGACATATAAAATAGTGTCTACTTTAAGACATTCAAGTACTTTTTTCAAGTTCTTAGCGATGTGAGTTAGATATTCCCCAATCTCACTGACATCGGAAGGCAATCGTTTAGTATTGATCTCGAATCTAAAGTTTTTACGTAAGATATGTTTGGCATGTTTAGTAATGAATGTATTTTTTTATTGGTATACGCTTGTTGAATATATGAGGCGATTCCTCGACGGTATTATAAGATCTTAACAAGTCTTGCATAATTGTTTCAACGACATTCCATCACTGGAAATCAAATATTGGTTTACTCCTGTACTCGAGCTTCGATTTTCACAACGAAATATATGTTTCTCTTCTGTTGTATTCTGTGTTGAGTATGAAAATATACCGAAAAACATATAATTTAATTCCCTTGCGAACTCTTTTATATATGAATTGTATTTATTCTTCCACCTAGTTTCTCAGTTTGTTCGTGATGACAATAACCAAGAATGCACGAGATCATGCCACGAATAGAATATTAATTTCTATAAATATCTAGACCGGCAAAGCTTGTTAGCGCAACCCCTTTGTGGCTGAAATGTGGAACTCACATATCTTATTTACTTTCACTGTGCTAATGGCAAAATATATAATGTTTAAATTCTCTCAAAGACGATAATTCTTTTCTGATGATAATTGATTGTCAGCAAATGTTGTCTTTTTTTATTTATATACCTCGAGTAGAATTCTTTTTGTGAAATTGCTATGGTCTGTAATGGAGGCCTGTCTGTAAGGGGAGGGGGAGCCACGAAACCTCGAACATAAAACTTACACTCACTATTTTCTTCGAAAATATATGTGAGTTCCACAAAATGCTAAAAAATTATTAATTATTAATTATTAATTCACTGTTTTGCTAATTAATTAATTTGTTTGTAACGGCCTCTCATGAAAGAGCTTGCTGCTATGGAAACATATTCAATAATGTATGGTTTCACGCCATATGGTTGCTAACGAGCCATAGGAAAGCAGCCAGTTCCTATTGTACACCATTGCTAGGAAATGCACCCAATGACTTTTGACTCCGGTTCCTAAAGTCTGTAATGGGTGCCTGTGCTGCTATGGTCTGTAATGGTGGGGGCTTAGGGGGAGAGGAGCCGCAAAACCTTGATTTAAAACTTACACTCACTGTTTTCTTCGAAAATATACGTGAGTTCCACAAAAGCTTATTTCACAAGGCGAAAAACAGCACTTCTCATTATTTGTATCTAATTCTAAGCTCATTCAAAGTTTTTAAACCAGTTTAACCTTCTATAGATGCTCGTATTGTTGAATCAATTGTTAATAATTCAACTAACATAACATATTAAACATATAAATAATATAAAATCGTGCAAAATAACATAGAATATAAAGTTAGAACAAATAATATAAATTAGAACTCAATAGGAACAAAAATGTACTGCAATGCTTTATAAAAAAAACAATCTATCCAGCTTTGTGTAAATTATCTGAGCCATATTAATTGCTACGTAACAACATAATATATAGTAAAGAAGAAGGAGGATAACGTATGTAAGTAACCTTAAGAAAAATATAAGTACAAGAATACATGAAAGTTTGTTTTACGAAAAGTTAAAGACGACATATAGGATAAGGATGTTGGTTTGCATAGAAGTATGAACATGATGCGGAGGACATCCATATCCACAGCCATCTCTCATTTGAGATAAAATTACGTACTGTAGATGAGTCTTCCTATTTTAAGGTGAAACTTAGTAATAACAAAAAAAATATATACTTAAACAATCGGTTTGTTGGTTATCAACAAATAGAAAAATGTATGTATCAGATGATTGGCTTTCGTCCGCTACCCAAACAAGTCGCAAGGATAACAACAAATTTCTTTTAATTTCTTGTTTACATTAAATGCTTCCTGGGATGTGCAGTCTCAATAAAAATTTTGAAATCTTGACAGTGATTCACTGACAGTGAGTCTACAATGACACTCAATATGCTAACATCAGGTTTATTGAGATTATGAGTATATTGATGCTGACAACCATCAACTACAATGATCTAGCTATCGGTATTGATTGGAACACTGACGCTCACTAGGATATCAAAGCTTCACAGACAATGGTCATAGTGTTATCGGTGCTCATGGCAACACAGAAACATCGAATCTGCCAAAATATGCTTTTTCTTTTTTTTACTTTTATTCATACTCATCAACGAAAAGTATTGATATGAGCACATCTCAAGTATTCCGAAAAATAAACCAAATTTAGACAATCTATAATCTTGAATAATAATGCAACTTTCACAGAAATGTGTTATTACTATGCATTAACAGTTTTAGTTTTAATATGGGAACATCATCTTTCAAACAAAAGTTCTAGATATTAAAAATTCATTTTTTTTGTGATCTTAACATATTATGTCAAGGGAATAAGTGAAAGTTTGAACCCCTATCACCTGCAGCTTCTTTTCGGCACCTTCAGCATCTTCAGTGTTTTTCAGTACTTTGTGGTGAAATTTACTGCTGAGATGCTGCACTTATCTTGGCAGCAACTAAACACCAAATTTTACGATAAAATGTCGAAAAAACACTGAAGACGATGGGAAAATGCTGAGAATGATGTAGATGCCGAAGGTTGTTGAAGGTACTGAGTAGGTACTCCGGTACTGAAAGTTTCAAACTTGCACTTTCTCCCTTATATTATGTTCAACTTCTATTTGCCTCAATATTTAAGAAACATAGAAAGCTCGCTACAAATGCAAATATGCTAAACTTCTAAATCTATGTGAAGCACTTATTTAGGGTTGTAATGAGAATCTAAAGATCAACTTTTCGCACAGATTTAGCTATGTGCCCATTTATATCACGAATATATGACACTACTGCATTCCTATGAAGATTATTAACGTTACTTAAATCTATTTGAGGTCGTAAAATTAATTCTCATCGTTTGAACCATATAAAATTTTGGACTTTGTCTTCATCATTATGCCATTCTACATCATAGATCTTTTGCAATATTTAGTTCTGGAAGCGATTTCTCTTCTGGTCTTATGCTTAGTTTTAATCTGCCAATTTCTATTTTATTGTTGACAAATTGATTATAACAGAACAAGAGGAGATATACTTCAAAATTAAAAGAGTCCTTATGTCGATAAAACAATTCTTACATGTAGGATGACTGTTGACGTGAATAGTGCGGATAGGTAAGAATGGAGAAATGAATCTGTATGATAATGTTTATAAATGCCTTTCATACATCCCAATCTTACGCCTAAGCACACCTATACCCTCATCCAACATATATTTACACCCGTGTACAGTAGTTCATGCAGATAAGCAAACAAGAATTATTCATTGACTATGAAAATGAGACGTTAATTAGATTCGGTTATAATAAAGAAGCCTGAGAATTTATTATGCTGTCATACTCGCATCCAAAGAAAATATTCTATGAATTCATTTATTATATTCGATGCGTGTCATAATATGTTGATATGGACTATAGTCAACAGAAATCAATATCGGAGTGTGGATATTTCGCTGATCTCCAACTTCAGCATGCTCAGTTTTCATTGAGCATTGATGTCATATATGAGTTCTCAAGTGAACAGCTATTACTGTAGGCAGTGAATCTCAATGCACAGTATACTCACAATGCTGCTAAAGCTGACGACAATGCAGTCACTATCCGAGTGTGTACGATTCAGCGAGTTGGAAGTAAAGAGTCCACTGAAGTTACACTTCTCTAGGTTTCCTTCAAAAGTAAAGAAGAAGTACTTTCAAAGCATACTCGTCTAATCTCTAGAAAAAAAGGAGGTCAGCAGAAGCTTTTAAGGTACTGCCTTTTACTCGAGTACAGAATCCCTCAAAAATAGTACTACAGGAAAACAACTGTTTCGAACCACCACTGCAACACCTTTTTTATTTCTTGTACAGAGCCCTTTTTAGGGGGTTCTGGATCCGAGTAAAACGCAGAACCTTAAAAAGTTCTGCAGACCTCCTTCTTTTAGATAATGCATGCATATCTCAACCTATTTCAACGTACATCTATGTACTTCTCGATAGAAGGTACTCCTAAAGCACAGTCATAGGTAATACCCCTCAACATATCATCAAGACCCATTCTCAATGTATGTTATGTAATTGAATAGATATTGAATTTTTGTACTCGATGATTTCCGCAATCGACGACATAGAGATTGCCGTGTCGATCGAATGATAAACCGATGGGCACATTGAGTTGGTTCGATTGTCCTCCTCCACCGTTTACACCAACAATAACACTTCCCTGTTTGGCTCCATTGGGCCAACGCATGATTCGATCATTCCCTGCATCAGTCACATAGACAGAGTCCAATTGATCGACAACGACTCCATAAGGACATGACAATTGTGTAAGACCATTTCCTTCTCCTTGATCACCAGCCACGACAATGCCTTGTTTTGCACCTTCCACCCATTGCATCACACGATGATTTCCCCGGTCAGACACGTAGACTGAATGATCTCGATCGACGAATACGTAGTATGGGGAAGAGAGTTGATCGAGACGATTTCCACGTCCATTGCCACCTGCAACCACTGTTCCTTGAGATTCTCCTCTT